AGACACATCTTGCAATTCAGCCACAGTGCTCTAGAATGGTTGATAAAAACAATTAAAGAAGGCCTTTTCCCCCTCAGGAAAGCAGCCTGGTGATAAAGGATAGAACAAAAACAGTGAAGTAACACACACTGTCAAGTACCAAGGGGATATTACTACACCTTGGTAAAAATGTCCAACTTTCAGTTCACAATACTGTAGGCACAGTATAAAGTCTATGTACATTATTAAATTTAAATTATTAAAAGGCTAGCCATAACAATTGCAACCTCTGGCTTACATAGTATAAGCTGTTTCCAACCAAGAACAGCAAACAGCATGAGTCAAATTTAATGTTATCCCTTCAATACTTTTCAGATAAAAATTACATTCTTACACACCTTTTAATACTTATGCAAACCCTAAGATATATTTTTGCCTCTAACTGTTACATGTTAACATAAGCAATAAAAATGCATATCCATGTAGGCAGCTACTTAAAATTGTATCTAGTACTTTAAAAGATTCTAAGAAATAATATTTCTGTGATGCTGTTATAATGATATTAATTTCCAGTAATGAAAACAAATTATAAAAGAAAGATTAAGAAAAGGGGCATTAGTTTCTGGAGTGATGACTATAATTGTGTTATGAACTGCTGCCTAAAGAGACTTTGAAATGCCATCTATAATAAAAGGCTTTACAATGTAATAAATACTATGTTTTAAAAGGATCTTTAAGGAAGTCAAATAGTCAGATAATTTTAAATGTACATATAAAATTACTCATTTTCATTTCAATGATCATATCTATTTTCTAATTAAAAAAAGAGTTGTAGTTCCAATTTAGACTGTAGTTACAATCTGAGCCCACAGTAGTTCAAACTACATAATGCTTTTACTAGAAAAATACCTCTAAAATAGAAGCATGTTACACAAAATATAAACTAGATGGTATCATCTCACTACTAAAAGGCTAACTGGAGATTGACTAAATGTTATTAAAATAAATTCTAGTTGAAAATTTATCATACCCCCAAAATTTCATGGCATAGAGCTGACTGTCTGAGGGGTTTATTGAAATCCTCCATGGTTACCTTTCAAATTATTAAAAAAGACAAAAAAGAAAAACAAATGAAGAGTAATTCCACAAAATTCAGGAATGCAATCACCACTCATCACTGACATACTCAGATGTACATTTAAAATTTTCAATGGTTGAGAGTTCCATCTTTTCTTTCTTTCTAGGATCCTCCCTTCTACTCTTCAGCCTCAGGCACAGTCATTTTTCTTTCTTTTTTTAATTAGAATGTTTAACAGAGAGTGAACAGAAACAGGAATGCAAATTAAAATGGAATTGGCTGCTTGCTTATTTTAAACTCTTCTAATTTAAATATTTGGAGAAAAACAGAAAAGGCAGAAATTTAAATGTTTGAGAATTATCTATACATTTCAAAATTCTACTAGAGCAATACTTATAATTTCCCAAAGCATTAAAACAGATATTTGGAAGCATAAGTAAAACTTAATGAGGGGCTATTCCTAAACTTTTTTTTTCTTATCTATTCCTTCTCAGAGGACCAATGTACTTTTACAATTTCAGGGCATATTTCTCACACTGTGATGCTTTCTGTGTAGCCAGTTCAAGCAAGTAACTCTCCCTTTGTCAATGTGTCAAGTTCCAAGTTAGAATCAACCTTGGATGGTTTGATCAAAACCAGAAGCTTTCTATCCTTTGGCAGACAAAGCTGATCTAAGGGCTGGTTCTGGGAAATTAGTTGGATGAACTTGGTTGCTCTGCAATTAATTAGAGGGTTTCCTGGCTGTTTGCAGGGAATGTAACATAGGATATTAGCAAATAAAAGTGATTCTAAATTTGAAATCACAGGATGATTCCATAAGTTATAAAAAAAAAAAAAAAAAGTGAAAAGCCAGGTGGCTGGCTACCCACATGCAGGGCCTGTTCTAACAAAGATATGTAAATCAACAAGCTCCTCAATTGTATATGAAATGAAATCAATTTTTCAAGGACCACTTATCTATTGGATATCCAATATTGGTTCCTCTCATTTCCTTTACCTTTTGGTCATTTTTCTTTTCATTACCAGAACAAGAGAGTAAGTAGAAAATGCTGAGACAACACTCAAATCAATCAATTTCATAATATTTGATAACAGTTTAAAAATTTGAATCAAGTGATAACATTGAAAGTTTTAACACTGGAGTAAATATTCATTATTTGTATAGCTTTCATCTTTCCTATGCACAGAAAATTAATGATTGATTTTACTTGTGCATGTTTTAGGAAGGCATTGAGTAACATACAAGAAAAAGAAAACACTGAGTCAGAGAGGAGAATACAAAGGAAAAGACTCTTTGATCTCAAAAAGCAAGGGTTACTTAGGAGTAACATAGTAGCAAGCATCTGATATCTATTTCTACAACTTGTAGAAAGAAGAGAAAGTTGAACTTTAAGCTAAGTTTTTAATAAAACATTTCTGTACTCAATTATTCTTCGGTTTAAAATCTATGAATATGATACTTATAGATTGTTGCCTAAAGTAATTCTCCACGAATTCAATTTCCCTATTATTAGAAATACAGAACAGAGTCTCACAGAATCTAAGAATTATAAGAAAGTACATTGCTCCAAACAGGAATCCTCTTAACACCTTTTGTTACTAGTTCTTCTGTGTGTGCCTGGGTATGGAGACCCATCGGGGTGATCTGTGCATTCCATTCAAACAGAGCTCAGTGCTTTGGAAAGCTCAGGCTGTGGAGCCAGGGAGACCATTCAAACCCTAACTTTGCCAACTACCGGCTGTACCAGTAGAAAAAAAAAAGTCTCAGTTGCTACATTATAGGAAAAACAAAGTCTCTTATTGTTTTAAAGACTAAGATGAGGTCATGTAGGACTGGCGTCTTGCAAAGTGCCTGACATCAACTATTTACTGACTCCCCTTACCCTTAAAAGTATCTGCTCAGTGACAATGAACTTGACTTGCTTTCCAGAACCAAGCAAACACACAAAACCAGAAGCAATCTTCCACTTGGTAATATTATAAAGTATAATAGCGTTTTTCATTTACTCAAATTATCAAATTAGTGTTGCATAGAGCACGTGTGTGCAGGCAACAGCTTTAGCTGCTGAGTTGAAATAAACTTTGGGGATAAATGTGAACAATTCCTCAAAAACTGGACACATGACCTAAAATTTTCACATGTAGACCCTCAAAGACTGGACTATCTTCTATTTCTCCTTTTCTTGTCAGACCTGATGTTTTTTGTTTGTTTGTTTTGTTTTTGAGACAGTTCTCATGGACTCAGATTGGCCTCAACTCATGATCCTGCTTCACTCTCCAAAGTACCGGGATTATAGACATGCACTACCACACCGAACTCTAGGCCTGATACCTTATTTCACACTTGTGGAATGTTAGGAAGTAGAAGGCATTCAGAGATCTAGCCTAATCCTACACTTTAAAGTCAAGGACACTAAGGCACACAGCCTTAGCTTGGCCTCCTCCCTTTCCACCACTTGATCTCCCCTGACCCTCAGATTCAAAGAGGAGGTAAAAACTAATCATGGAGAGAATGAGTCTAGAATCCTATCGTAGGCTTGCAGCCAAAGCAAATCAACGTCTCTAATAAAATACAACACACAAGAGCAGAGAATTAAAAACTAGGTAAGATGCAAGTTAAAATATTTGAGGAAACTGCCGTTTTTAGTTTCAGAATTCAAGATAACATTTTCATAATTCAAATCTCAGTATAGTTAGAAAATACGTGCCATTTCAATTGGACTCTGCAAGTGAAAAACTAAATGAAGTAAAGGCAATCCCAAGAGATTAGTTCATTCACGTAAAGGCTTTGTAATATATTACTCTTTGATCAAAAGTTAATTGATATACCACTTCTAATTTTCTACAGTGATACGCATTTGGGTTAAAAAATTCATTAAATATACAGTGAAAAATACTTGAAAATCCATTTATTAATCTTCTCTATGTCCTGGCTAGAAATAAAAAAAAGTTCTGGAAAAATAAAATAGTCAGATGAGGAAAGGTTGAACATATGAAATTTCACTGTGCTGATATCAGCTGACATTAAGAAGAATATTTGCTTTATCTGAATATTTATTAGTTTATGAAGTATGAAACACTACAACTAAATTGCTGATGGATCTTTTGACATGCCAATATGAAACATATGCATGTATGAATGTGTTTGCAATAAAGCATGTTGTCCTATTATATCAATGTACACTTGGCATTGACATTAGAAATAGACCAGCATCTGTATTACATTACAACACACAAGGGTTCCAGAGAGCCGTTTTCACTTGGGGGTTAGCTTCCATTCATTTACTTGATCTTCTACAGAGAGCAGGATGTAAAATTATTCCAAGATGCATCAACTCCATAGAACACGTGCTAGTGGAAAAGCTTTGTTCTGCATTATGTTAGCACAAATCATAGTAAGCAGATCCAAAGAACTTTCTCTTCCTGGGGGGAAAAAGATCTCTGGAAACACTCAGCAATCTTTGGTACTTTTCTGTGTATGTTTATGTATGTATGGGTGTATTTTTTCACTTAAAATGTTTACTGAATGTTTTTGAAAAACTACTGCATACTATTGTAGAACATTTGGAAAAGACCAAAAATAACATTAAGCACAAAGAGAAGACCAGCTAATTCCAGCAATAAAGATAGCCAGTATTCACATTTTTAGTCTTGTTTTGGCCTTTCTTATTTCTACAAATTTCTTTATGATAATGTGGGAAAAGATGAGAATGATTTGTTTCCATTGTCTTCGTACTGTAAATAGACCCACGACTTGATTCATCAGTGTCAGATGCAAATGGTATTTCTTTTTGTGTGTGTGAGGTTGAATTTTAGCTCAATGTAGACACACCCTTTTATGAAACTGTAAAGAGCCTGCTGCACAGGTATGCAGTATCAAGGAAGTAGCAAAAGGTGAGCACAGAAAAGAGAAGAAACGTAGGGAAAGACTGCACCCTCCTACCTCGTCATCGTCAGCATCGTACTGGGCGTAGTGCTGCTCCAGCAGCTCTCTTTGGCGCCGCTCTTGTTCCAGCGTCTGGCTTATCAGCTGGGCAACCTCACTCACTTGTCCTGGTTTTTCTCGCCCAATGACGAATCTGTAGAAAAGTTAATGCAGATCAATGAAGTTAGGACTCTTCAGCCATCAGAAGTGCTAAGAAAAGTGGCCAAGCTCAAAATCTCAGCATAGTCCATCAAGACTCAAGAAAGTAGCGTCACTGTATGCTGCAAATGGTGCACTTGGGACACGAGGAAAGGTTAGCAGAGCAATGGAAGTGACTACACACACAGCTCAGAAAGGAAGTCAAATATCGTCAAAGGTAACACTTTGTGAGAGGCCATAACAGATGAAGGCTATTCTGCAGTTTATTGCACATTTTGATATCTTTAAAAATGGAACAAACACAATTTCCTATTGAACTTTAGAATCATTTCCCTAACAATGTGCTCCTTATAACACAAAACGTTTTGAGGCACAGCATAACTTAAGTGGTTAGCAGAGGGACACTGACTTTTTTCTGACGTTATTAAAATTTTGGAGACAAGAAAGTGACATAGAAACAGTATTTTTTATTTTGGTTTTAAAAGGAAAAACTAAAATAATAAGAGGTGGCAAATTAATTTGCCACAAAATGAGCAAAATATTTACTTTAAGTCATATCACTTACAATACAACACAACAATTCTTGTTGATATACTTTGTTTTGCTCAACAAATTAATATTCACTTAACATCTTTCCATATTAATATATGGTTCTATTTTTCTAAAAATACAAATAATATGTCTTCTGGATATAGTTCCTAAATAACACTTAACATCATTATTTTGAATGTGACTTTTATTTTAGTCTTGTTTTTACACTTTCATTATAGTAAGTTGTATAGCCAATCAATGCAGGGGCCGTACTGGGGTTTGAACTCAGGGCCTTCTGCTTGCTAAGGAGGTGCTCTGACTGCTTGAGCCACTCTGCTACCCCTATTCAATCAATTTTAAGTGACACAGACCACCATTTCTGCACACATACACTGAAAGTCAAAAGAACTGTACTTAGAGGTTATTGTCTTCTTAGAAATACTTTTACACAATTTATTTTTTCACTTTACATAGTTTCAAACAAGATTTAGCTTTGAAATTAAGCCTGATTTTGAGCTGTTTTCGCTGAGAGAAAATACTATAACTCTGAGAATTAATACTATAACTTATCTTTATTCAAATACAATTGATATAATAAGATACATCTATTTAAAATGTGTACCTTAACAAGTGTGATGATATAAACTTATAATCACTACATCAACAATTTAGAACATTTTGATCAACTCAAAGTATTTCCTCATGTCTCTTTTCATCTAGTAAGTCACCTTCACCCTGGGACCATATTAATCTTCTCTGGACTTTGATATAAAAGGAATGATGGAGTGTCTAACTTCTTTGGTTCCCTATAATGGTTTGGAGATTTATTCATGTTGTTGCAACAAGTAGCAATAATTTGTTCCTTTTAATCACTAAATAGTATTTTATTTACTGGATACCATACATTTGGCTAATCTATTTTTCCATTATTAACGATTAGATGAATTTTGGATATTGTACATAAAGTTACTGTAAACGTTCATGTGCAAATGTGTATGGACTAAGTGTTCACTTCCCTTAGACAAATAAATAATACTGGAATTGGGTCATATGGTAAAAGTACAAAAGAAATTGCCACCTTGTTCTTGAAGTGGTGGTACCACTTTGTTTTCCTACTGGTGATGTACAAGAGTTGTACTTGCTTTCTGTCCTACTAACAGTGTTGCCTTTTAGCAATTCTAGTGGGTATCAGGGGTTATCAAAAAATAACTTCAATTTCCAGTACCCTAGTAACAACATTAAGTGGTTTTTCATAAACTAATTGGCCATTCATATCTCTTCCTCAGTGAAATACCTTTTAATCTTTTGCTATCTCTAAAAATTGAGTTCTCTTACTTTATTACAGAGTTGAAATGGTTCTTAATATAGTCTGTACACATATCTTTGTCTATATATCATGCAGATACATACACACATATGTATACATGTTTATGTATTTAGTCTATTATCTTTCCTGAGCTTGTGCCTTGTAATTTAATTTTGTTAAAAAATTTTCATGGAAGTCTAACTTATCACTTTTTAAAAAATCATGCCTTTTGTTTTCTACCTAAGAAATCTTTGCCTGATTTAAGATAAAAATTGTCTCCTATTTTTCTTCTTGAGGTGCTAATGTTTTGCTTTTATATTGTGTTTATACATTTTAAATGAATTTTTCATACATGATAAATAGTAAAAGTGTTTTTTTAAAAAATGGATAACCAATTGTTTCAACACTACTTGTTGAAAAGACTGTCCACTGCAGCCACTGAATTACTTGGACACATTTGCTAAAAATCAGTTGACCATATATTTGTGGGTTGATTCTAGACTTTCTGACTATACCACTGATGTGTTTACACTTATGTCAATATCACGCTTCTTTGATTCCAACATAGCAAGCTTTGAAAGTGGTGGTGTGAGTTCTTCAACTCTATATATCTTTTTTCTCGGTGTTTCCATATAAATTTTATTTAAAAAATGCCAACTTCTAAAAGAAGAGTAGACATCCTTGCTTTATTCCCTATCATTCTAAACTATGAGTTCTGGATTACCTAGAAATACACAGAGTGATTTCATTTAGAGAGATTATGGTTTTCAATTTTGAAGATATATAAAGTCTTCACTGTGTTAAGCTAACCTAGACATAGATTACTATTGTGCATTCATTATGGTTTTAGTAAATATATGTCAGAAATTATGTCTATTGATACATATAAAAACAATTAAAAACTGATATCTTAACAGTATCTAGTATTTTGAAAAAGTAGTTTTAGAATGACCTAGACTGACCTTTAATCTGTCTGTATTTTACAATTTAGGAATTAAGGGAGAATCACCTGTCTACTATAAAGTTGATAGCAGTTGGAAGGAAGCAGTGAACGAACATACAAAATGCTTATTAGTAAAAAAAAAAAGAAAAAAAAGTAACTCAAAGTACAAAGTAAACTAAAATTCAGATTCATTTAAAAAATAAATTTTTGCCTTTGAGAATTATATTGTCAGATCATGAGGTTTAACTGTTTCCTAAGAGTGGAGAACTTTGTTTTCCTTGTAGGACAAGCCTTTAAAGTTACTCAATGCAATTCAGAAAGAGAAAAAAAAAAGAGCTGGAAATTATCCATTTGCCAACTGTTTCTACTGATCCTAGAGATAAATGAAGGTTTTAAAAAGACGTTGTGAGATCTTTGGAAACAGAAAATTATAAAAACAACAAAAGCTCAAACTATAATAAATATTGTAGCAATAAACTATATAATATACATTTTATAATAAAACTATACTATGATATTTAGGTTTCTTTCTATTCTCAAAAAAAAAAAAAATCCCTACTTCCCAAATGAAAATTATTTCTGATGCTACAACTAAAGGGAATGAGTCAGGTATAATGAAAGTTCCAGAGGAAATGAAAACTTCTACCCAACAGACCAGCATTTTGAATCATGAAGACACAGTTGCTAAAAACCACAGCTAGGCTTTCTGAATTTTTCCGCATAATTTAATATATCACTATTTGCACAGTATTGGTTTAATTCAAAATCGCTTTATAATCTGATGAAATGAAAATGATTGTCATTGCCATGTAATATAGACAGAAGATTTCATAAATATTCTCACTTTTAAAAGTTATTCATATCTCTTCATTCAGGCACCACCCAACTACATACGTCTTTAAAGAGTTATAATGGCACATGTCAGCAAAAATAGAATGTCATTCTTAGAAGTATGGTCCAGAGGAAAACTATACAGCACTGGAAACAAACTACTCTCTCTGCCTCTTCCTCATATGAGAATTTGTATCTAAACTGATGTTTCTGAAGCAGTGATCAAAGAATAAAATGCAGTGCATGTGTGAAAGGATTTGGATGCACTTACCATGATAAAACTGATGCAGTTTTAAATAACTATAGCATTCAAGTTACCTTTGTATATGTTTGTGTTTGGTCTATTTTAAGGTGCATTTAGAAATATGTCCCTAAAATTACATTTACAATCTAGCAAATTTAGAATTCAGTATAAAAAGTCGAATTTAAAGTAAGGTTATTATTTTAATATGGATCTAAAGTATGGACATGTTCTAATAGTACAACTTAGGAGTTAAAAAGCTCTATAAAAGGAAAAAACAGCTTTGATAATATAAATCCACCGAACTATAAATAGCACTTACTGATCTGTGATCTTGACTGTGTTAGTATTTCTAAGTGTTAGTTTATATATATTTGTAAAATGAGTACTAAAACTATGATAAATATTATAAAATTAACTGTGTTTCTGGTGCTTAGAGTGTTTAATAAATGTCTACTGCTTTTTTTTCTAGACTTGCATTATTAGTATCTAGAGAAGGATAAGTGCATTTAAAAGTGTTTACTGTACCACAATGTCCCAATAGCCTCCTGTTTGATTATAGTTTTAAAAATAGAGTTTTTTGAGTCAACCATAGGAAAAGGATAAAATACTGGGACTAAAGATGTTCTGAAATTTTTAAATTTATCTTGCCATTGAAACATAAATGTAAGGATTCCATCCCTCCCTCCCCGGCTGGGATCAAAACCAAGGCCTTACTCATTCTAGGGAAATGTTTTATCACTTAGCAACAACCCCAACCATCGTGATCACTTCAAATTGAATTTTAAAAACCTTCAAATATACATCAGTTAGGTCAGTGACAATCAGTTCCTCAAAATACATGTGACCAAGTCAATCCGTGTCTCCGCACAACTGATTGACATAATCTCCAACTGAAATGACAACAGAAACCAAGTTCAAATAGATCTTCCAATTAAAAATACAGCATATTCCAAGATTACGACTGGCAAATAGCAGCGATACTATAACTAAAATGTACAGTTAGGATCTATGTCTTTGTTTTTATTTTGGGGGGGATGTTAATTTTTACTTACGCTTATTTTTAAAATATTACATAAAGTGTTTTAAGTTATCTTTAATAGCAAACTATGTTCTGTTGGGCTGCCTGAAGTGAACTTTTGT